GTTGAGTCATTTCTGAAGAAGTTGTTCTTCGACTTTCGATAGATTTACTACGCAATCATTTAGAGATTCTTCAGATGGTTGTTTGGACGAAAGCTCCGCAACTAAACCAACCAGCTCGGAGAACACTATTAATTGCAACGCAGATGTTTACATGATGCATGCTTCGCATATCTTCAGAACGAGAAAAATGATTCATCGGATTATTAAAATCGACCACCTAAACAATTAAAGGTGAAATATGCGGAATAATGAGATATTCAAAGGAAGTGTAACAGGAGGTTGAGAAAATATTGGGCTTTTAAATTCATTTGGAGGAATCAGAGGCAAAATTGATGCATAAAATTTTCCTAGAACATAAGTAATGATTTCTACTGTGTGCAAGACAGGAACACACCGACCGAAATTAAGACCGGTTGAAGTATGTTAAATAGCGTTTCGTTGTTATTGCTACGATCATCAAGATAAGCAACGGCTTCAGACAGGCATTGTTTTACCTGTGCGTAACCACGCGACTCAGTGGTCTGAAATTAGACAATATACATGCATGACTGCACTCACCACGCAAGTAGATCGACATGAATTTGAAAACTGTCTGGAATGTAATGACTCGATTCGTTTTCACTGGTGTAACTAATCCTCCCTTTTTGGCTTAAAATTGATTAAGTTTTACTACTGTCTGTTTGGACATCCATAGCTCACTGTGGTTGTGCCTATTCGCTTCTAATAATGCATCTTTCCCAGACGTCTAAAGTGCTTTTCGGTTTTATGTCATGGGTGTTAAGAGATTACCAAGTTTAAGTACGCTAGAAAATGTGAAGAACTAACAGGTTTTACGTCTAAGTCATTGCGGCGAGTTCAGGCACACATCAGGTGCACACGATAGAGATGAAACCTAGTTGTTTACCTTCATTTCGCGTATGAAGCACCCGTTTGTTTGTGGAGATATATCACTGCTCTGATGCACTTTTTTCTAATCATCAGAATACTTAGGAAGAAAATGCCATAGCTTCGGTGAAACGTAAAAGGACCACTAATTATTCTGTGAACTAAAAATAACTATCCTGGAATTTTTGATTGGTTGGAGGAGCACAGTCCTTACAAAACCAATACTTGAAAATTAACCTGGTGTTCACTAGCGACTGGTCATATTCGGGCAGTTACCGTGACTACCAGGGTGCATCACGTTGAAGGTGAGGCAGTAACCCATAGAAGAAGACGCTCCGAAGTGGTCGCACTGTGTCATGAATCGGTGGCAGTTGGAATCCATGCACTGGCAATAGAATAGGGTCCCAGTGGCTTAATAATCTACGAGCTTGCCTTGTAGCTAGAGGGTCCCGTGTGTGAACTACGGTGGTTGCGTTCTGTGGAGAGTCACAGACTAGGACGAGACAGGTGTTCAGTACTCCTAAGTTCCCAAATGGTTATCTAACTGACGTCAGCTCATATCGGAACCCTTCAACCATAAATGGAAATATTATTACTTCAGCAGTGATCAGTAACAGGTAGTTCTTTAGTCCGCACACAGTTAGGAGGCAGAATAACGTCGGAATAATCCGTATAAAATGTCAAATGAAATATAGAGTAGCTGAAAATTAATGGTATGGTTTGAAATTGAACCTTCAGCATATTCCTATCATTCCTTTAATCTCCTGATTTATTGGTGGTGCACAAGTAGTGGTTGAAGCCGGATTATTGGTGAGAAGATAATACCCCACGATCGTTATTAAGGAGTCATCGTAGAAAAAAATGAGCTGTTTTTCTGAAGCACTTATAAGATTTGAAGCAAGTGAAGTTACTAGTAGAGGATGTACAAATATGGCCGCAATTAACAGCATTCGACCTAGTTATTATAGCTGTCCTATCCGAGAACGCTACGGTAGAGTGAATCTTAAGCAGATGGGAGAGGCTGAAGTTTGAACCTTTTTCTGTGAGGAACAACTCTGGCTTACAAGGAGGGAAACAATATACACTTACCCTGTTAACTAGATGCGCAATATCAATAAAATAGAGGATGTCACCCTCGCAAGTAGTTCGGAGTATGCTTCTTGGGGGAATAACCAAGCTCCGATTGGAAAAAAATATTCTTGGGCCACTAGTACCTACACCATGTGACTGAGCTGCGTGTGCCCTACTAAGCTGTTCTTGCACTTACTGAATGCTTAACAGATACGGAAGGACTGGAATTCCGCCATCATATATGATATTTATAGAATGAGCCATCTGTAAAATCCTGTTTCCTACAAACCTTCAGAGCAACTGCTGGAGGGTTCCATGGTGATGGACAGCCTGTGTGGCAGCGTGATTATGGAACATGTCAACAAAACAACGACCTATATGAAGCTCGACATATTTTAGAGCGGGTTGTACTCAGACTGTTAGAACCCTACATCTGGTAACAACTGTACAGTGCACTCAGTGTGGGTTTCTCACAGTGGCGACTTTCGGCTCTGTGCATCATAAGGGCTTTCCTTGGAAGGTGTATGAAAAGGGAAATGGCAGCCTACCTCTACCTTGGACTGAAGAATTCGGGGTAGGGGATTTGTATGAAAGTGAGAGTAGGATATCATCCACTGAGATGTTAGAAGGAGCTTTTCTCTGTCAACTGGTATTTATAGTTTTCACAAATGACTCCTGAAAAGGTAGTCCATGCAGCGCTGCTCTAAGAATGTGATGTGAAGTTGTGGTGGTAAAGATGAAACTGTAGAGGAAAAATGGACGTTCATACATAGAATCTTTCACTGTCACTTATTAAAGGAGAGATAAACGTCTCTTGAAACCGTTTTTTCCAGTGTTTCCAACTTTAGTAGAAGATGACATGGTGTAGTTGCTATTGTGATTTCCATTGACGTCACTACCCTGGAAAAACTATAGGTTCTCTACAAAATAAATTAACATCCCTAGTCTTTGATTGGACACTAGTAACTGGTGTGATGTGTCTAGTCCATTCTTTGGCGCAGAAAAGTGCCAACTAGCACTAAACCTAGGTCCAAGGCTTCCTGTCGACTGTATCCAACCATCTAAAATCCGCAAATCCGTAGTCCTCCTCAGTTCATGGGAGCTGTAGCAGTGATGGGGGTAGATTTTCTGAAAAAGATTCATCAGTGATCTACAACTCTTGGGAAACAGAAAGGGATCGAGACATTCACACACATTTGACACATACATATTAGACATTGAATATTACTGTTTGCATCTGGGACTCCTATATTCTAGCAATAGAGGGAATACGAAAATTTAAGCAGTTACCGGGATGTCCGGCAAGTCACACCTAATAACCATTGATTTCTGGTAATGGAACAGTCTTCATCTGATTGCATTTTAAATAACATATTTAATATAAAAATATATACATAAAATTTCGTTTTTTTATTGACCACCGATGTGGATGCATTTAGAAAACTAGTTTTGTTATGCTGACTAATAGTAGACATCTCTGCATGAAATCTGCAGAATATCACAAAAAATCGCTGTTTACAGACTTGTATTACATTTTTAGCTCATAGTAATCACAAAATTTCAATTCTTAAGATGAAATTTAATGAATGTGTAAACCTAGCTCGCATTGACTTCGGGAGCACTACAGGAACTTTGAGGCAAATTTCAGATAACTTTCCTACATTCTGCTATGCGCCCAATGAAAATGCTGGTTGAGAACTGCACGATGTCACTTATTGATTTAAATGAATGCTATGTAGGTTCTGGCGGTCTATAAAGTTTGAAAGATACATTGTTAGCATCACTTTTAAAGATGGTAGTCATAGGTGCACCCTACATATCCATCTATAAAATTGAAATTCATATGAAGACTATAGCACACAACAGAATACCTATGAGAGTCAGTTGGCCAACACTTCAGTATATGCAACCCATCAGGAGAAATAGGAACTATTTCATGATACTACTGGTGATATAGCCGTTGATTATATCATATTGTGGAAGCAGATGTGATCAAAACGACATTAATAACTCAGGTAAGGAACTAAGATAGTAATTAGCTCCTAAGGAGAGCACGGAGTATGCTTTATACTGATCAGCGCGTTTTGTCATCACAAGTATTCATCCTCACCTGATTCTGTACGCCTTACAACTCTCTGGCATTAGCAAACTGTTTCATTCCACTTTAATGTTTCAGATGAAGTATACAGCTTCATTTTGTTCTACTGTGTAAAATCTTGCACAAAAATGTATCGAGAGTTGGTAATGTCACATGAACAGAAAGAAGGCACGTGCACAGTAGCTTCAAAATCAAACAGATACGATAAGGGAAATGAAACATTGTGTGTAGATGAAGAAAGCTTTTTAAAACTTCAATGCTGTGGCAGTTAAGTATAAATATGCCGTCATAATTTGTTTAACAGCTTATTTCTCACCAAGAGTATTCAGGAACTTACCTATTATTTCTCTATTGCACAGTCGTTTTCCCAAATATCTGAAGCACTATCGGAGAAGTTATTGTTACATTCTTTCATCCCTACAATAAGCAACGTAGTTTTTCTTGACATGTCCCTTCATTATTACCTAAAATTGGAAAAATTTATGCAGCAACTTATACTAACGGCTACGTATATGACAACAGTTTGATATTTTTTCGTCAATGCTTGATTTTTAGGGATAAGTAATAAAAAGTACCTACTGAATTACATTTTCCTGATCAGTGGCCTCATCCACGAAGTCCCACTACAAGCGCAAGGACACCTAATATAATGGAAATACTTCGGCAGACTTTTCTCACGGATGAAATTAGAGTCCTTAATTGCTTAGAGACTGGAATATCCGTGTGGCTTTCTACAGGTAAACTCTGTTGTACTAAGTACTTTTTAATTCCCAGCAAAACTGTCCATAAGAAGAATTGTTGATTAAAATTTATTGCTTAAAAATTGTCATGTGATGTCACTATGCGTTACATTTAACTAAAATAATCATTCTAAAATTTTGGTCGCAGACGAGCCTGAGGGTACGAGATCATTCTTCGACCACTGTTGCGCCGCTTAGACGAAGAGATGCCAGAAGTGAAAGTTATAACACGTATATCTACAAGAGGTATGCTATGTCATTCTTACCAGCTGTATTAAACTAAATTAGGATCTTTAGAAATAAAATACAACGGCATTCTTATATTCTCTAAACTTGAAGTGGGCGGTTTCCCAAAACTGGATCCGGTAAGCTTTGAAATATCAAACTATATGCAGCAGAATTGCCGGAATTTTGGACTGCAGAAAAACACATCCAGTCAAAGTGTCTTACTTTATCAGTTGAATTAACTAGTAAAATCATTCGTTTTGGTATAGATTTAGCTTTTTGTCACCATCCGGGCGTAAAAGCCCTCACTAGCCACTGTCAAATTATTTTGTTCCTACTGTGAATATTCATTTAGTGGGTTTTCATTACACTTCTTTCCTAAATAACATACAACAGTTATGTTCCCACATAATTTTCAAACTATAGATGTGTTTTGGTCATAAATCCATGCATTAATGCTATTAATCCCTGCTGCCGGATTGACCGCAAGCTTAGATATTCACCAAAACTAATGTCAACAAAGATTATAAATAAAAGTGGTCCAATAGTCACCTTTGAAAGTCTTGGATGCCTACCGAAATAAAGTGGTCCGTAAGACCGAAATATGATTCGAATGAATTTGCTGGGAAAAATTACAATGTATCAATTATTTTACGGCCTTAATTACCGCTAACTGGATATTCTGCCCAAATTTTTTATCTTTCAAAGAACAGATGTGTTGTCATGCAATAAATTTAACAGTAAAATTTAGCACGATGTCTCATTTACAGCTCATTGAATAATATACGCAAATATGAAATGGGAAGGGAAGTTTATAAATTTGACCCGGATTGACTACTGGCAGAACATCTGTAGTAGTTTCCAATAATGCTCAAAAATTCTGGGTTGACCGCAATATTTTGTAAGTATTTGCCTCGCTATACATAAATGGAATCAAAAGACCTTTTGTTCTTCACCCACACGTAACTTAATTTTCACATAGCTGAACTCAAGCAATAACAATAAAAACCCTTTTCTACACCGATTTAAACTCAGTTAACATCGATAGTCGAAGAAAGTAATGGGTCAGAGGCGAAACAGGTAGCCTAGGTACCTTAATTAACGAAACCATACTGCTTCATAAAGTGAATTTTCCTCCTTGCCTAGAATTTTACAATCAGTATTGTCACTAACTACCATATTGCTCCAATATAGATGAGAAGTTGATCTAAGGTGCCTATGTTTAAAAACTGCAAGTTTTTCCCACCTTCTGGCTTCATTGGCTGTATATCACAGACGCTACATAGTGCGCGTGGATATTAGTGAATTTTACGCCTGCTGTAAAGACGACACAAGTCGACGTCATCTGAACGAAACTCTTGTTCCGATGCAGATATATGGTTGTCATGAGGTCTACTTCTCAAGTAAATGAAATATGTTAAAGCACGTGGGCAGGTGTAGGCTGCCTAGTTGAGTCCTTGAAACTCTGGAAGACAATAACTGACATGACTCAAATTTGTTCTTAGTAGCGCATATGAATTCGTTCTTTATCGTCTGTGAAGCTTATTAAATCCTCATCATTCTTCACGTACTTCCCCCTTTTTCCTGTATATTTTACCTTAGTTTCCAGGTGTTTGTTTTTCTTTCGGCCTTGTGAAGTTAGGCGAAATAAAACAGTGGACTGCTGTGCAACGTTTTGCGTTTAAAATTCAGTCCACTGGAAGGTATCTACTTTCCTTTGCTGAAATCAGGTGTGGATGCATTGCGACTTTGTAGGGTTATCTTACATTTGATTGAATACCGAAAATTCTCGTATCTTAGATTAAGATACTCCTAAAAATCCGCATTTTGTCACTGTCCTCGACCAGAAACACTGAACCATCTGTGAAATCCAAACTAACGAGACTCCTTCTTGGCAACAGACCAAACTTTGGGACACAGGAGAACCTGCTAACACAACCGAATCTGGTTGTTTTGACTTATACAACAAAATTAACAAATTCCGATCACACCGATATTTAACTTTTCTGAAATTCAGTCTAAATAATAAAAGTTTTCGACTAGTATAGTAATCGTTTGTTCTCATGAAATAATTTGACTGTACAGTAATATAAAACATGCAGTCGAATAGTTAGTATTTCGCCCCACATTTTAATGTCATCCTTAAATCATGAGAACCTTGTGTTAACCATAAGGTGATTTTTATAGACTTATCATATTAATCAGATATCTTTAAATGAATAACGTTGCTTGAATGCTAAGTTCATGCATCATAGACAAAATATAGCCCACAGAGCAACATTCCGGCTATTGAAGACTTTTTTCCTGTATGATGTAGTACTGGAATGTCGAAAACCCCAACGAGAAACCGGAAGCATGGTTTCGTGAGACCGTTTTTCTAGTAGCAGTCACGCAGTTAATAACCTAGCAGAGAACTGTATTAAGAATAGCACCAGAAATATAAGAGGGTAATAAATTCGGATGAACAGAAAAAGCTGTAAAATAAGCCGAAATGTCAGATTTTGTGCCTAATTTTTTCTACATACTCATTCCCCTTAAAATAAGCAGACAGTATAGCTAGCCTAATGATTGCCTGCTACCATTCCACTTTTCATCCAGCAGTACAACTTCATCCACACGCCTAAAGAACAGTTCAAGGAACTTCAATGATGAGGGTGAGTGCATTTAATCAATAGCTATAAAACCAGCCTTTAAGTGGCGCTGGAGTAATCAGTCCGGTAATTATAGTTTATTGAGTTACTACAGTGTGCAAGCCAGTTTACTACATTGTGGTGGCAGCTACTGTTTGGGTTTTCTTAATGTTGCACTATATGGCCGACTGGATTTAATCAGAAGAGAAGATGGATTTACCATCCGTATGTGTTCTAAGTAGCTTAGATTTTACTCCTCTGAATGTAAGGACTAACAACAGGGATTTTATTTATTAGGACGGGGTGAATTTCATGGGATAGTTTTATGGAAAACTTTCGTGTAATCTGGTCCATATATGCCATATGACTCACTTTAACAGTTGTCACCAACAGATTATGTAGTGATCACATGTTAAAAATTCAAAATACGAATGCAGTGACGTTAAATATTTGTAAATTTGGTCTGAAATCGACAATAATTGATGAGGAAATAAAACATATGATGTTGTTATCACGACAGTTAAATCTCATGGTGACCTGAAATCTACTGGAATATAGATTTACGTCTATGTAAGATATGGCTCAATTATCATTTAATATTAACAAGTAAGTTATTTTTCCATTATCGACTTGAATGATTTCATAGATCCTGCGTTTTTTTAGTAATGTTAAAGAAAATCGAAGTCTGATTTCATTAAAGGCGGGTTCGTTAAACTTAGTTAAAGCCACAGTTTTAGTTATTATTTATTTTTAATAACACCTGACTTTGAACAAATAATTAAATTATTAAAAATATACTTTAATCCGCTGAAAGCATATTTTTTCATTTTTTTTCTTTATTATTATATAACCTACTTTCTAGTTGGTCGAAGCTTTAAAAAGCGTAGTAAATGGTGCAACTCCACAGATGGTTACTGAGTGTTACAAGCCGTCCTACTGCATACTAATTTGACGGTTACACTTTCTTAACACCCCAAAACATGTGTTATATGACAAGTCATGTTGGCTAAACCTGTTTTTCAGGAGCTCTTGATTTCGATGAATCATACCATGTTTACAGATGGGGGAATGTTTTTATGATTTTAGACAGTACATTGTGTGTTCCCAGTGGTTTTCATTGAGGTGTATTTTTGAAATAAACTATGTGCTGTTAAATTCAATGCATGGCTATTATTAGCATTCCATGGAGTACACTCTGATAGCTATTGCTTTTTATAAATTATTATAGTCTGAAAAGTTGCTAGGAGACGAAAATCACTTTCATTGCACTCGGAACCACTGCATAGCATATATACATCTATAATCCGTTCAGCTAGATTTTAATGAGCTGAAACTAGCAAACAGTTGCAAGCCACAAATGTGACTCATTTTACAATAAAAATGATCAGAACGTATGCTCATGCATTCAAGAAGCAGCGGCTGTGGTTTCTACACAGATTGACACATGTATTATTGACTTTAAATCAGTTTCTATCCAGAAAAACGTATACCTTCCAGTAGTTTATCAAAGTTTGGTGATCATTGTCGCAGATTTTATGTTCAGGGATGATGGTTGAAAACAATAAGGAACATCACTTGTGACATAATTTCATTTGGCAGTCAATCGGCTATAGGCTCGCTCTCTATAGATTGGGTTATCCAAGCATTTCAGGTGGTTCTACATATTTACGGCCACTAGCCTCCTCAATGTGTACAGAATGGGAAGTACAAGAATTTTAGTTTAGTTTTAGAAACTTCAACTGGTCATCAAGCAGACCGATGTGTCAATTTAAGTGTTATCTGAAGAGTATGCAGAAATCCATTGAAAGGTCCATGAATAATATTTCTTCAAAATGCAGCCAGACAAAGCAGTGTCAGTCTTAAAGTCTTCACACTAAAGTCTTCACTATAAATCATTCACAAGCCTGCTGCAAACTCCCGTGATTATTTTGCTTTATAATCTGGCTAAATCATTAGACCTATATGCCATTACTCAAGTAATGTTTACCAACGGGATGGGAACAGGGCTTTATACTATGTAATGCTTCGAACACTCAGATTTTAAACGTCAGTTAACTGTCATGTCGCTGTTACTAAGCAACATAGCTTATACGAACTTTAAATTCTATTTACCAAAATACTGATGTACCTACCATTATTGAGAAATAATTTGCAGAATAGAAGAGGAAATGAATATTCGGTGAAGGCTGTCTGTAGGAAAGGAAAATTAACTGAATAGTCATGACAACTATCGGAAAAGTTCGTCCAGTATATGCATGAAATACAGTTAAACGTTTTATGCAGGATAACAAAACCATTTTATAATATGGTGACAAACTGTACTTCTTTGGGCCGGACACTGAAGCCAGTCTAATCACTCTACACAGCTAAAATAAAAAAATCTGTTGTAAATAAAGGAAGGAATTTCAAATGTCATTGTGATTCCCATTGATCTTTCTTTCAATGAATGAGTAAATACAGACATTTATTCATAGGTAGATAGGTAGGTAGTTACGCATAATGATGCTTGAGAAGACCATGTCCTGAAGAATTCTAAACATTGTTTATAGGGAAATCATAGTGTCCCAGGGAACGACATAACTTCGATTTCCTGAACATGTATCAAAAACCCTACGTCTCAAGTGAACTAATTCTTTCAACAGTACCATTGCTACGCATCTCCTTGACACGGCCCATCACCTGGACGTCACAAGATCGTTCAAAATTATCAATAGGCAAAAGAGTCTGCCTAAAGTTTGCTGAAGAAATCTCCATCAAGCGCCTGGAATCCGATTCACCTGTTCACAAAGAAGCAGTTATCAGTCTTTCCTCACTCTGGTAACTGGATGTTTTCATCCTTTTTCATTTGATTACGTGACACCAAAAAATTCCATTCTGTATGATTACTATTGTTGTTTGGGATAAAGTGATTATTGCTATTATTACTATTGTATGCATATACTGCTTGTTCGTTCAAAGTGAACTCTGTGCATGTTAAAATTGTTTCCGTACATAAACGTAATGATCTCTTTGGGCTGTAAGCAGCTGATGAGAAGCTAACGAAACAAACGATGATACCATTTTATTTTGCACAAACTGCTGCTTTCGCTTTATTCAGATTCATAAAAGGGAATAGATTTATGAAAAAAAAATGAAATTTCTATCATTTTTATGCCCAAGGGATTTAAATGTCTATTGTGAGTAAATAGTGTGATCAGTAGAGGTGAATAACTCATTTTAAAAGTCTTCACTTAAGAAATAAAGTGAATTGAAAGAAGAATTAAATATTTTTCCGAAAGATTTCATTTTGATTCAAGAAGTTTGCACACAGTTGTTAGAGGTTGACATTATTACGAAATAAAGTAAATCTGAATAGTGTTATGGAAACATACACCATTGTTTCTGCAGGATTGTGGTTATATTGGAGTAATAATCCTTTTTCTGCATAAAACCCGATCGTATATTTACTTGTAAATTCATTCATGTAAAACAGCAAAAATATCAAACTAAATAAAACATGTGGGCCACTTAGTTTCCAATCATAATCATTGTTAAGAACTGGAAAGTTGTAGGTCGTAACTAGAGGTAAGTGCAACATTTTCTGTTGTAAAGTGTGACATTGGAGGATGGCAAAGTGCTGGCAGATGTTGAACCTTAAAAAATAATCCTGGTTCAGGAAGGAAATCTGTCGGCGAATTCGAATCACTGTCCGAAAGATCTTCACTTTGTTAGTAGAAATATAGATTTTTGTTTGAAAACATTATGAAGACCTTAAGTAAATGTACTTGATTTCAAAAGTAGTCTTGATTAGATGTGGACATTATTCACTCTGGCATATTCATAAATCTGAGGGGATCACACTGTTAAGAGTTAGTGACGCCAATCATCGCATGACGGTCACGCACTACAATACATTTATTGAACACAAATCTGGAGTAAGACGTCAAGTAGCTACGGAATTATACCAAGAGGTTTTAAATATTTGTAAGGGATTTGGAAGGAATTTTCAGCATTTAATATTACAGTGTTTCCATTTTTCAGAAAATATCCTTTTAAGATCCAGATGTATATCACTCATCTCCACAGTGACCTTTTTTGAGTAACTCATTGTGTAATCATTTTAAGGAATGATTCCGAAAGGAAGTATAAATGTCCTGAAAACTATACAAACGCGTGAGAAGGATCGAAAAGCTAGCATTGGACCTGAGTCCAAAGCCTCTTGGAAATATTCAAAATGAAATGTTCTTGGATATCATCCATCTCATATGTCTTCAGTAACCTAATTCGAATGTATAACATTTCCAGTCAAATACAAACTCATTGAAAACTTTAGTCAGTTTATTTCAATTATCTAAATCACTTTTATGAGACAGACTTCACAGGTGATTAAAAAATATCCATGAGAGATGCTGTCTATAGCTTTTTATCATAAGAAGCAGGTAAATAGATGAGAAATACGAAAATTGAAATTAGAGTTGTAATTAAATACACTTGAAATAATATCCTATCGACAACTCTTGCGATATATAGCCAGCGTGCGATTTTCACTTCTTTTAAAGTCTGCTTTTTAGCTAAAACAGATGTTTGATTATACTGCTCATCAATAATTTCCGGGTTATCTCTGCTAGCAGCAACAAATGAAGACCTAGTGCTGTTATTTTCAGATAAATAGATTTCTTCTACAAGCGCTTTTCTGTTCTTATCAGTGTTATTACTGAGATTACTTTTTGTTCGACTTTTAACACCATTATGAACTTGTTCACAACGTACACTGGAGTCGATTAGAATTTCTCCAGTATATGGAACCATTGCCAAATAACCGAGTACCTTTGTTACAAGAAGCCATAATAATGGATGAGGTTCTGGGCATGGTTCACTTTTACTACGTAAATGTATGTGTAATACCGTGGTGGCGAAAATTAACGAGATTGAATTCAATGTCATTACCATAGTAAGGAAGGTACCAATTAATGGAGTTGAATTTGACTCTGGTGTATTCTCTGCAATCATTACCTATAGTGCAAAAGAGGAAGAAGAGTATAGATTACCCATCGCTCAACCATTAATACTTTTTCTTCAAATAATTTCAGTAGGCAAAATTTTAAAATTTTACAAAACCAGAATCTCAGTAATCACTTACATAAGTACATCGATACAGGCATTTTAGTGAACATTTACTGCCTACATTTTCTGATATTTTGATGATGTTAATTTGTGATAATTAACTTTTTTCTAGACATGAAACATTTTAGTGTCAGTCAGGCGACTGAATATAGGCTAAACACAGAAAATTATCATAACAAATTATTTGTCTTTAAGTTTTCATTTTATTTGCCAGGTTTTCAAGATAGCCAGTTATCCGTCAAGATGTTACAACATTTTTATACATCGAAAATGAGAAACAAACTAACTTGAACTATCAAAATTCCTTTCTCTGCCTTTATACTTTCGTTTATGTGTTTGCTCTTAATCAGCACATTTCCTTTCGTCTTCATTAGTGTAAAAGTGGATACGGATTACTGCGCTTGTATGGCTAGATTATATCACTAAGATGTTCTGCAGTAGTCAGTTCTGGAGTTAGACAATAGTATAACGTATTTTGGGAGTTTTATTGGTGTAATGTATTCTCTGCATTCTATTGATTTTCATCTCTCTGTGTTTTCCTAAAGTGGAATCACCATAAATGAGGTATTTCTCATATTAATATTCATATTTTTCAATTTGTCTCTCAGCATTCCTGACATCAATCAAGCTACTGAAGTCGCTAAAATGTCTGTATGAGCCACACTTGCTTTTAGTTAGTAAACCAACAGAAAGTTATAGCTGCAAACTTCACGTATGGTCTGATATAAATCAAATGTGCTGATGAAAATGCCATCATACTATAGTTATAATACAGCATTACTGTCCTTTTCTCTTCATTTTTTTTTGCTTTTTCATAACACTTTTGGTATTATTTTTATTATTTTATCGTCTCTTTAACTGAGCTGAGGTTTTAAAGAAACTTAATGCAGATGCTGACTACGACCATTTGTTGTGGAATAGACAGACAATAAGCATAACCAATGGCTGACTGCAGTGGAATAGATGAATTTTTTAAAAATTTTCGTGTAGCGTTAATATTAACAATTTTTCAGTCTAATTTTATTGATTGTACATTCATTCACTTGACATTATGGCAAAGTTTGTCGCCTGTCAGCTGCTAAAAAATACCTTCAACCTGCTCTGAATTTCCTAAGATCTATAGGGATCAAGGAAAATATCAAGACTAGCACAATTGTTATCACTGTTATTATTTCCAAAACCTACAGAAGACCATCTTAATAAAGTTTCTGCGATATTCAAGTATCAGTTTGCAGGGATTTGATTGGTTACAAAATTTTACCACGAGCTGACATTGAAAAACCTGGGATAAATTTACCAAGATATTAAATTCGTGTCAATGTTAAATTATTTTCCCTAGAGAAATATTTGTTTACTTCGCTGTAATCTCCCAACCTATAGTGATAACAAATGATAATAAAGAAAAGAAAAGAATATGTGGTAAAGTGGTAAAATGCTTTCCAAGCAATGCGGTTAGTCCGGCCTCGATAGCCAGACGATACACTCCCAAAACTCGTCTGATTGGCGGTAAACCCGGTAGTGAGAGAGAAGGTTGGCAAGGAGGCCAGTGTAATTCCACCCTGTAAAAGTAAAGCATCAGGGTTACACAGATACTTCAGAGTTGAGGCCTGAAAGACGTACAATCCATTTGGAAAGCAAAGGAATGAAAAATATGAAAGGTAAAAGAAGAGATGAAAGTGACTTCTAGAGTTATCAGAGAACAGTCAGCAAGAAACGGTAGCAAGCAGTAGAGGGGCACAGAATACCCTTAAAAGGTATTAGACCAACTAGAAAACAAATTAATATAGGCATTAATTTGAAACGAATTAGTTAACAGGCAGATTGAATGGAGAACGAAATTCAAAGGCCTTTAATTTTCGTGATTCAACAGACGAAAAAGAATTCATTAATTGCTTATCTTAATGGAACGAATCATTATACATCATTATTATAGACCTCACTAATAAACTTATTTCAGAGAAATAATCTCTGGAGAAGATGTAACACAGGTAAAGCTAAACTCAGAAGTGGTTCTGGGTTTCTTTGAGGTCACACTACTCTTCTCAGCAACAGTAAACTTAAACAAAAATACGAAATATTGGTTTAGATAAGCAATGACAAATAACTAAACAACTTATGAAAACAGAACATAAATTCAGGATTGACCATGGCCTGTCCATTTTTACTGATTTCCAGTCAAAAAAGACAAACATAAGAGCGGAAGAAAGGAACCCATTATGGGACTTCATGTCTCAAGACCTATATTCAGAGCACTAGTTCAATGACAGACTAATAGCGCAGTATCCATTATCAGACTGCAAAATATGGTTCCCAAATTATTTGAAATTAACCTCGTATTCCTGTGGGTTAATAGAAGAAATGAGAGTGCACAAACACACCCCAGTTAACTATTACAAATCACATCCTGCACTACACAACAGCAGCAAGCGATTGGAACTCACTCAAGTGCACAAAAATTACTTACTGTACAAAAAATAAAGTGACAGAAAAATTTTATCTACACAATATGTTTCAACGGAACTGTTACCACGATATGTCCTAATAAATACCTAGCAACCTAACATCTGCATAGAAAGAATGGGAGGAAAGAGTCTTCGTAAATCTGAATACTTGAGAAAAATTGGATAGACTTCAACGAAGATGTGTAGCGTAGATGTGTCTCAGAAAGATTTTCAAAGTATTTCTCACACCCATGGGGCTCTTTAACCAAAAAAGATCGAATATAATACGCAAAGCCTACTGCCTAATTTATATATATATATACATCTCTGACCTTGTTGTCACGTGACATTACAACCAATCATGTTAAGACTCTCTATTGATTCGTTCATTTTGAACATTCGCTCATACACTTGTGTGACATTGATTCTCCTTCTTTGAAAAAATACAAGTATTATCGTGAACCTGGTGGTTTTCTGATTTCCGCCTTCTTGCGTCAGGACTATTAATTACTCGACCAGTACATAACAGTGACATAAGCTATTTTACGAAGGCAACAATACAAGTTAATAGACTCATCAGAAGTAAATCAATTAGAATGTGAACACGGATAATTGAAAAAAAATAACAAGCATCTAGACTGATGTCAGAGCTTTTCTCAGGAAGAAAAGCCAACTTCAACAAGCAACAAAAATTACCATAACATTCACACGTTGAGATTTACCAACATACCAGAGATCATAATTAAAAATAAACTCGAAAATCTCTCATTATTACCTGTAAAAAGTATAAGAATAGAAATACTGTTAATCCCATGTCGATTTTCCTTGCGTTTCCACTCGGTAGCCAAAAACTGAATATAGTCAATACGCATAATAGTATACTGGGTGCAATCACGGTATAGGCGTAGAATAAAGCTCGTCTATAAATGTGTATTCTTAAATTTATCTGTCATATTACAAAAGAAATGCGAGGAAATGATAATAATAATATGAATGAGAACATTTATTAAGCTATATACCATTCAAAGTTTTTGTGATTTAATCAGCTAGTTTAAAGATAGTGCTTTATGAAGTGCCACTGAAATCTGCAAAACGCCAAACTACTTTCACATGTCACCTCTGATGTAGTACAGGAACTTATCAGTAGTCTAAAGACTCAAAGTGGAATACAACTGCATACACCTGATATGCACACGAGTGTTAAATAAGTCAGAATTAGGTGGAGAATGTTTTTGTAAATGACAGCCTTTATTCAGTGTTGGTGATTAAAAACCAAACCACGTACACTAGCAGTATTCGTCATGGTATAGTGACAAAGACTAAAGCACCTTTTTCAATACCTCAACAGTCCTCCTCAACTAAGAATTACTGATCTTTTCCTAAAAACTATTCTGTTACTGTTTTTCACATTCTAACTGTGTATGGAGAACTAAACCAATGAATTGCTGTATCAAATCCCTTACTGGCCTATATTTTTAATTAGCTTTTGATAACGATTGATTTCAAGGGTATGTATAAATTTGATTGGTTTTATGATAACTGACTTCACGATGGAATACTCCCAGTTCTACTGAAAAGTTCTCACCAGATGGATCTATGAAGTCGAGCGCGAGGACAATACTGATCGGTAACATTGGCAACCATATAGCATGAACTGACAGAATACATTGGAATAAATGTATCCGACTTCTAGTTCGTCAAACCATGATATTTCTGAATGACCTGGCAGTCTTACGTCTGGTTATTCAAGCCTTCTGAATGACCTAATATCTATGTTTTGCAGATGAATTATTATTATTATTGTATCCTTTAGTTCCTAGAGGAACATAGGGCTTCAGCTGCGCACCTCCATTGACTTCGGTTTTCTGACAACTTTTTCACCCCGCTCCAGGTCTGTCCACATGCTTTCATCTCCTCCTCGCATGACCTCCTCCAAGTCACCCTTGGACGACCAACTCGCCGCCTCCCTTTCGGGTTCCACTCAAGGGCTTGTCTAGTGATGTCACTTGATGGTTTCCTCAGCGTATGGCCAATCCATCTCCATTTCTTTCTGCCTATTTGTTTCACAATCGGTTCCTGATTGGTTCGCTCCCAGAGATCCCTGTTGCTGATCTTTTCTGGCCATCTGATCTTCAGTATTGAGCGGAGATAGTTGTTAATGAAGGCCTGAAGTTTGTTGGAGATGCTCTTTATGACTCGCCAAGTCTCTGATCCGTATAGTAGCACTGACTTCACATTGGATTTGAAAATCCGGATCTTATTTTTGATGCTGATTGCTGTTGACCTCCACACAGATTTGAGAGTAATGAAAGCTTGTCTTGCTTTTCCGATTCTGGCTTTGATGTCCTCGTCAGTTCCGCCTGTAGTTGAGACGATGCTTCCCAGGTAGGTGAAGGAGGTTGTTTCTTTCAGGTTCTTCCCATTTATGCTTATTGTGGTCTGTTGTTGCTGTTGATGTTGGCTAGGAATCTTCATTATCTCTGTTTTATCTATGTTCACGTGAAGTCCTATCTTTGATGCTTCTTCTGCCAACTTGTTACTTTTCACTTGCATATCTTCCAGTTTATGGGAAATCAGACATATATCATCGGCGAAATCCAGATCCTCCAAGTATTTTGTATGCGTCCATTTTATGCCTGTTCCCTCGTTGGTTGCCGTTGTCTGTCGCATTATCCAATCAATTGCAATCAGGAAGATCATTGGTGATAGTAGACAGCCTTGCCTCACTCCCGTCCTCACTTCGAAGGCTTCCGTAAGTTTCCCGTTGTGGATTACTTGGCATGCAGCATTATCGTATAACTGTTGGATGAGGTATAATTGTCGATGGGACCCCGTAGTAGCGAAGTAGTTGCCAAATGACCTCTCGGTCGACGCTGTCGAAGGCCTTTTCAAAGTCGATGAAGTTGAGATAGAGAGGTGACTGCCATTCCAAGCTTTGTTCAATGATGATCCGTAGAGTGGCGATTTGATCAATACATGATTTGTTTCTCCTGAATCCAGCCTGTTCCGGACGAAGTTTTTCATTAAATGAAACCTACTGACTAGATACATGTTTTTGTTAGAAGTTTATTCACGCTTACAAATGAGGGTTTATAAGTCAAAAATAATGAAGTATACAATGAATATTTACTAGATACCATGAAGGTTTTTACTTTTAAGTATTTCATCTGTACACTTCACTATGTTTGTTTAAAAGCCTAGACTTAACCATCTGAATAATTGCAAACTTTCTGTAATTTCACACGTTGTAGTGTCCTTAGTTCTAAAGAGGCAAACCGACGGTTTATTGCGGTTTGCAAAAATCATTTCCTTAAATGAACGCTTAGAATGTTAGATCTTGTCGAAACCTCTTGTTTTCCTGATGCTCAACTAAATATCATACAAGACGGTGAACTGTTTCAGAACAAACTGTTAATAGATATGCATCTAAAGGAAACTTATGTTCACAAACTTCTTTATACACCAGGCTTGTATTACAAAATTGTTAAAAGTGATACTGACCTGCAAGACACCTCTAAGCGCATCTAGATTTTTAGTAATGTTTGATGATTAGTTGGAAATTACTTATTCATGTAGTTTATTAAAAAGGCTTACTTGCGTAATATTTTGTCCACCGACGGTAATCCGATAATCCTGATAAATCTTCAATTCTGGTACAGCTAATTCAACGTTTTCAATTAATTTGTTCAGCATTATGCTTGTATTGACTGGTACAATATTCAACTTTAGTTGACTCTGGTCATAGGTCCAGGAAGCCAATTGTATATCACACATTTGATGATCGAATGGAAAGTATAACACGTCTACATTACATGAACTCCGTACGCTGACAGGCAGATTCCAAGTCACTTCACCTAAACACAAATTTTTAGAAAAAAGTGTGTAAGTCAGCAAAAATGAGGAATAATGGCATTTACTCTTTTGTTGAAATTCTTAATTTCCCATATTCTGTTTAACTGGATTTAAATAATTATTCTGTATTAGCATATGTCGCCTTTGTAAAAAGCACCGCGATGATACCTTAAAGGTATCTGTTATGACGTGTGAAGTAATGGGTGCCAGTACATGCTCTCAGTAAGGTCATGAACCTATTAGGTCATAAGTATATATAGCTGAGGAGTTGTAAATGGAACGAAGTTTAATTTATTATTATAATTAATAAAAGCATTTATAAGAGGAAAATTTTCGTATCCATTCTATTTCAGAAGCAGTAAATCAAAATAAAGATATGTGTGTATTCCATTAGAAATCCGGAACACTGTAGGCATCGCGTAGAAAAAATATTACACAAACAATATTCAAATGTTGCTTTAAAAGGATTTAATTGGTCGCAGGATTTCAGCATGAGACGATGTCGGCAAGAGAACTATGGGAAAACGTGGGAGTACTGGACTGAGATTCTTTATCGGTACGTAGCCACCGGCGCGGTCACTAGTCAGCGTTATCGGCGAATATTTGTCGTCACACTCAACCGGCTGAAACCCACTGGTCACGACTTCCCACTAGAACCCACTACTTGAATAAGACCGGTAGCTAGAGAGCATCAGATTGATATTCAGATGCTGGTTTGCGGGGATTTGACTGGTTACAAGATTTTATCATGAGCTGATTAGCTCACCTTGTAACCGGGAGGTTCTGGGTTCAAGGCCCACCTGGTGCGTACTGATGAAGGATCCCAAACTAGGACAAAACAACTGTCCATTGCATAAAGAAGGAGGTACTTAGTTAGTGTACTCTATATAGTGATTTTTAACGGGTATTTGGCGCAAGAAGAAAAATTATCATCGATATTATCAGTGTTATTATTATTGTCATTGTTATTATTACTTCACTGTGAACTTGGTACAACGAGATGAGTCACACAAAATAATCCAACTATACTACGCAGAAAATAAGACAGTTGGAGAGTAACAATGAAGCTGGTAGGTATATAGTATATGGTAGCTAGGTATACGGTACGCGATACTGTCAAAAATTTGTAAGTAGTATATCCTCCATTATGTCTTCTACAAGAATCTTGAATAGTTAACAGACAGATTAGGTTGCAAAGAGGGAAAATAAAAGTTATTAATGAAACAGTATAGAATGCATAAAAGGAAAACGAAAGAAGCAGAATACGAAGAGGTTATACGGATGGAAATTCCACTGTAAGGTTTCTATGTTTTGTCGTTGCTCCTACAAAATATTACTGCGTTCTACCGCTACAGGTATATTTATAAAATACCTTATATCAGTGCAGCATATTAGCTGTTGAACTGCTGTCTAAGGCATATCTGATAGTGTCAAGTGATCTCTCAGACGCTATACTGGGATTCTTAGGGAAGGGACGAACTAATGACTGAAAATCGTTTGACTTTGATTGATGCATATGCAACCAACTGAGTATAATTCAGTTAAAGAAGATTCATTGCCCATCATTTTATCTGTTATCACACTCATTAATACAAGTAACCTGAACTGCATAACGTGCTACTGCACCTATAAGGCTGCATCCAGCCCACTCGAAACACGATTGCAGGACAAACACTCATTGTAGATTTGCTATCGAAAGAGGTTAAAGAATGCATTTAATTTTAGATTGTGTACAAAGAGAGTAAAGCAATTGGCAGGTGAAGATAATCGTTTGCGTTAACTGCTTGATTAGCAAAGCGACTGTGTTAGAATTTTTCTTGACAATGGGTCTGATTACAGATAGTGTTGCAAATAAAAAATTGAAACAAATACACTTTCAAAGAATCATTTGACATGTCTTCACCAGGTTCTTTATTAATCCGAAGTTTGTTGTGGTGATAATATGAACTACACTAAAATGGTTAGTGAATTCCAGTGGTAATACATTGACTGGTGTTTCGATACTCTGTTGAAAGTGATTTAAGGCTTAAAAGAAATTTGGAAATACATCATTTCAGAAGTACTACAACAACACTTTATGTAAAACTGTCAACAAGGAAACGAGCAACATCTAGTCTACACTATGACAGACGATCACCATGAGAATTTATTTGAAATATGTAGACCAAAAATGTAGAGTTAAACAAAAAATATCTTAATGGAAACATTTTGGGGACACCTGATTGATAATTCGAAGTTCTAGAGGTTGCTGAGTCTTTTTTCTCTGTATACTGAGAAAATCTTAGTAAACGAAATCAAGCCCTTGTATTTTGATGGTCAAAATGACTCATGGTTATTTGAAAGGTTTGATTACATGTGAATTTAATGAATCCAGGAGTTCATAAAGAATGAATGCATCTGAATGACTGAAAACAACTTTGAGCCATGTGACACTGCTCAACAGGGAAGGCGATCGCTTGGAATGCATAATATGCGTCACAGTCATCTGAATGGATGCAGTTTCACAGCCTCATTGATTTACTTGGCTTCTTTATCTAACACTGCATGTCTGATCTCAACTTTACTCACAATATTATAAGCAATAAGCGTAATAAGCATAAGATGTAACAATAACACTACACAATGAGATCATTGTGTGGTGGTTTGATCTAGTCAATGTGCGCCAGCAGAATGTTATTCTAACATGTTCCCACAGTTCAATTTGGCATTAACGACATTTGAATATTCTATTTGATGTTAGAGACAGAATACTTTCCCACAAATCAGTACTGTATTGGTAACGGAGGACTATGTGTAGTTGAACACTATATTTTTTGTCGTTTGATGTAAAGCAAAATAACACGCTCAGAGTGATTGGCTAACGAATATAAACTGTAGATATATTAAACAGCGGTTTGATTAATGAAAATTATCCTTTGAACTCCGTGTCTTGCCTTCTGTTGTTACGACTGAATCCCTGTTATTGTTTTAAGGAAGAAGTGAATTACAGTGTACAGGTTGTCATATTCATACGAGAAGTTACTTCTTATGCCGTTCAATAAATTTTTCGATATGTCAAACGGAAACTACCCATACTGTACTTCTGAATGAAACATAATATGAACAGGATATGCAGTATAAAATGATATCATTCTGTTTGACAGGTTCCCATCAGCCGCAAACTACCTGAAATTAAAATGGTTATAAAGAAATAAATAAACATCTTCTGCCCTATGAGCTATAAACCGGGATTAGTAAGGACACTGTACAACAGAGCCAAGAAGTGATGTTCGCCTAACAGGGTAGAAGAAGAATTAAGAAGCTTTGTTGAAAAATGCCTTAAGGAAAACGGGTATCCAAAAGAATTTATCCTAAAGTACAGAAAAGAAAGAGATGAGAAAGAGAAGTATCCAACAGCTGAAAAGAATAAAGTGCTCATTTGCCTTCCATACAAAGGAGAAACAGGATCACAACAGATTGAAAGGAAGGTGAAGCTAGCAATAAACACATGCTTCCCTGCACCTAAGCTTGTGACACTATCCACCACTACATGCTCTATAAGCCAATCGAAACTGGATAAGTACCCTGCTGATGTTACCACCAACTGCATTTATAAATTGACGTGCACCTGTGAGACCAACTACATTGGAAGGACAGAAAGAAGGCAGGGCTTCTGTCCGGTTTTCAGAGCATATCCCAAGAAATATATATCCGAATGGAAGTAGATATTCGCAAAGTGCAATTACCAGATAGACACCTTGTGGTGGATACGGGTCATTCCATCGAGATTTCTAAATCCTTCAAAATACTAAACATACAAAGGACCGTGAATCTACAACGACTTGTTGAAGCAATTAAAGCAATCAAACGTCTCAGACCAAACTTATGCACACAGAAAGACAGTGTAGTCAATCTCTCACTACCTTGGTAGCCATATTACTTTCATTATACTGATTAGCCCTCTCTCATACACACTAGTAAGCTCAGCTCACTGAGAAAGTTTTCAATTTGATGAACTTTAACCGTCTTGAGTTGTCATGTTGACGCACAACCTAAAAGTGTTTATTACATTTTTCTGATTTCTGTCTTCTTTCACACACACACACACACACGTTTTGTTCCATAGTTTGATAGTATATAAATTGATGGTAACTTAAACTAAAGTAATTGTAATACTTATATTCCGGATGCTTTCATCTTATAACGCTTTCTCTATTACCTTTCAAATATTGAAGTATGTAATGTTATTATTTATAACTATTGTCATTCCAGATAGTTTGGAGGTGATGAGAATCTGTGAAATAGAATGGTGATATCATATTATACTGCAGATCTGGTCTTTCTTTCTCTATCGAAATAATCTGAACGTTTAGTTATTTCAGTGGGAAGCTGAAATGAGGAAAAAAGTCTGTCTTTTGAGTGAGTCATAAGCTCAGCTGTACACTTAGGAATACGTAACAGGAGGGGGGGATAAGAAAGTTTCAGAACCCTTCTGTCTTATATTCATGAGTGGATTATTCGGTAGAAAAGAAAACTATTTCCTCGCTCCAGCCGTTCTATTATTCTTTTTATGTTGTGTCGTATATATTCGGCTATTTCATTAAGATTAAGACAATACACGGGGCTGTGATTTATAAAACGTCTTTGAGAAAAACGCACATGTGCTTAGATTTTTGGATTAGAATCTATATGACAGAGTTTTCACCAGTACAGTGACTCGTGGGAAAAAAAATAAATATACACATCTTTAGCGATAGCATATTAAATGTTCGATAGCACACTACACTTTTATTGATTATTTCTGAATATGATACCTTTGCTGATCATAGAAACTACAGACTAAACTGTGTGTTGCAATGCATAAAAAAATACCAAAGTTATTTATTATAATCAATATATACATTTAAATATTTTGTGAAATATTTCCATACTCTCCTTACCTCCTTTACTAACACGTACTCTACTCTGTTGAACATCCAGCAGTCCATTTTTACCATCATCTGCATTATTATACACATATAAATCCGGTGTCCAAACACGTGATGATGGCAGTACAAGACTGGTTAAACGATCTTCAAATTCATTGTGTTTATACAATTGTAACATTCTATGCTTGATGGTTTGATCGATCCATTTCAGTTGAACTAACAATGAAGTCAGTAGAATTTGATTTTTCTCATCTAAATCAACTACTTGTTGTAAAATCACTTGTACAGATGCCTCGAGTGTTTCATTGCCCAGTTTGACAGGTCGACTTGCTGGTTCATAGTTAGTTAACAGTTGACGAATAACTTCTCTTTCTGAAAATTGATAACATGAACATAAATCGATGTTAAGGTAGCTGAATAAAGTCAGCTGAATCACTAGTACATAGAATACTGGCTTGAACATTTATTTTCCAAAAAAAGTGGAACGGTTTCAGTTGTTGGTTATACAGTCAATCTTGATATACTTTACATCTATTAAGCATCTAGCTATTTATATTGATCAATAAGGTCAGTGTTTCTTAGCCAATCAGAATTCACTCTGAAATATAAAATATCTAATTGGTTTACAAGCAATAGGTTAGCTTTATTCCAGTCGCCGATAGAATTGATTATTGATTCTCGTTTTTTCACTCTCCCCTTATAAAATAAAGTGTGGAAGTGATAAATCTGGGAAAAAGAAGAATTCAAAGGAAACCTTAAGAAGAAAAGATAATTTAAGAATACAGTATCTGTAGATGAAAAGTGAATACTTAACTGTTCATATATCATGACGACTGAATACTAAGTAGGTTAACCATTTGCAGGAGTCAGACACGACATTCCAAGACGTAGTTACTGAAAAGTAATCATTGTGGAATGTATCACGAATGATAATTTGTACCAGGACATACGGCGTCATTGACTTAGTCGTAGAATTCACCCTGGTCATATACGTGTTCTGATGTAGATTTTCTGGCAAAAACACACTTCTAACTTTGTCTGGTTGATTAGCTGATTGTAAGCTCAGAATAGAGGAGAGGTTGACGGTAAAGCTAGCAGTCCTAACCCGTAAAGATAAAACTAGGAATTTCATAAGCTTCAAGCCCTGTTTTCCACTCCAAATGCAAAGGATTGAAAAATAAAGACACGATGAACGTGTCTGGAACAAATTAAAAATGGGAAGTATCAAAAAGGTAGTAGAACATTTAAACACAAATCGAATTAAGTTTTCATAAAGAGAAACTCGGATCAAAAACGATGTTTGGTACAAAACATTTCACTGGATAACTCACAGAAAGCAAACCAATCTCGATTATTCGTTTGAAGAAGGAAACAAAGGAGTGACACATAGATAAGTACCTCAGGACGTGCCAAAGAGGCTTATGTACAGGTTTCCAGATGTGCAAATCACACCAAGTAGACTTTATTCATTCAAAAGATAAAACTGTCCAGCCTTTAGTACAAGCGAAACTTAGATCTTAAAGTAGGATAGTCTCTGAGAGTAAGAGGAAGTATTTTTGAAAATAAAATAAATAAAAATTAAAAATTAATTTAAGAAGTCAGTTATTCCTGAAGGTCACAGAAATCAACAGAAGCATAAAAGCAAATTTCATTACGCAGTGAACTTTTAGACCACCTAGAATGACTATAATTATAAAGCATCAAAGTAAACCGTTTCGAAATTATGGAATCGATAGTATCACACATTATTAGTAAGTTTTGAATTTTTCACTACGACAACTATCAACAAATTATGTAATTCTCTCTATTGGAAATTTCTGTCATCATCCCTGTCGCAGGTAATATTTCATATTTTAGGGCAAAGCGGTGTCAGTCATTTATAGAATACCAACCAGGCTCAGAGGTGTTTTAAATATTTTGAAAACATTTGGCTAGTAATTTAAGATTCCACCTCACCATAATAGCAGCACTAATTCTATCCTACTAGCTAACAGGAGCATTGACAAGGTTAATCAAACACATACAAAGCGACATTGTTTGAATATGAAATTGAGTACTGGTCAAAGATTACCAGTGTGATTGGTGATTTGGACACTAAGGTAGGTGATATATAGTTTCAGTCAACTTCGGTGCAAAGTACCGAGATATAATTGAACGGAAGCTCTATTTAGCTTAGACTGTTCAACCTTATCAACTGTACATCTTTTTGGATATTCATGCAAACTTACCCTGGCAAATATACACGTATATACGCATATGTGAGTGTACAGCCTGATAATAAATTCGTTGAAAAGAGTTTCATTGCTGGATATCGTTTTCATGTTGTTACTATTTATTTTTTACGAGTTTAGATACTTTTCCGACTTGTAGTTCGCTTGTATTACTCTGTCGATATTTTTGACTCCCGTCAATCATTAGCTATAACCCTTGTTTTCTGAGGTTGGAGGACAACACGAGATTGCTAAGGGAACTCTGGCCTATCTAGTAACATCTCTACTTGACTGTTTTCATTTCTGTTCGTTTTCTTTTTTTAAATTTTAATATATATATATATATATATATATATTTCAGTTTTATTGTTTGTACGCAAAAGATTATAGTATGTCAAAAAGTTATCAATGATAATTCGTCAATCCTCTTGATTATTACACACTTATTATTTGTTGGACGACAAGAATTCAGTGAATTTATATCGATAATTTGTCTCCTGACTAACCATAACCGACACCGTACTGTTCCTGCCTTAAAGGGCCACACAAACAAACCGATCGGTGAAAAATACAAAGCTTGTTAAAAAATACTGCAACTCACCTATTTCAACTACGATTTGTTGTTATTATAGTGCTTCAGCATCACAATGGCACCTCTGCCCATAGGCTTTCATAACCTTCTTACATGATCTTCCCGACGTTATCCACCGTCGACCAACCCCGTGGATTCCCATTCACTTCCACTCTAAGGCTTGCCTAGCATGTGATGTCATCTGGATGTCCACCATGTCTTCATTTCCCTCGGCATATATGCTAGCTGGTTGACAGACTACTGGCTAATTCGCTGCCTGCTGGAGTTTCTCCTTCCTTTTCTTTTCCAACCAGTTATATGATCCTCAATATCGAGCAAGGGAAGACAGTTCTTGATGAAGGCCTGAAGCATGTTATAAATACTTTGATGACGTATGAACTAGGTTACTGGACCATACAGAAGCAGTGACTGAATGTTATTGCTGAAAATTCGCATACTGTCCTTTGTGGGAAGTGTGGGAGATCACCATAGTAATCTCCAAGTAATGAGAGTTTGTTTTGCTTTACAGATGTGATCCTCTCTGGCTTCAACATCCTTATCGGTTCCGCTTATAGAGTGAATAATGCTGGCCAGAAAAATAAAACAGACAATTCCTTCTACTGACGATGACTGGTATTTGTTGTTCGTCGAGTAACTTCTATATATACGCATAGTTTAATTTCATGTTGTCATCATTTATTTTATAATTGCCAAGACAGCCTACTACAAAGTTGTAAGTAGTAGCAGAAATTTTGAATATAATTTTAGGCATTATTGTTTAGTCTGAGAATAAAAGAAAACGTTCTGCCATAAATAAATATTGGGTTCACCTGCAAATTATTTTGCCTACACGACTCTATAAAAAATTTTGCTAAAAAATTTGTTGGAGGATTTCATCATGAGCTGACACTTGTTAGAGAACCATTGGAAAACCCGTGAGTACTGGACAGCTGTTTCGTCCTAGTTTGGGACTGATGAAGAGTCCAAAACTAGGACGAAACAGCTGTCCAGTACTCCCAAGTTTTCCAACGGTTCTCAAACCAATGTCAGCTCATGATGAAATCCTCCAACCAATCAAACTAAATCCCTACAAAAAAATCAATAGTTAAAAATTTATCGCGAAGAAAGCTGGTTAGTTCACCAGACATGCCTGTACTAGATACCCACTGGGGAAAGATATTCCCAACAAGAGAAAGTGACCTACAGAGACTGGAGGAAAGTTCAAATAAGCCACACACTTTAATGGAAAACAAACCCTAGATAAACTTTGAAAAAGAGAAAATAAGGACTGACAAACAGCACGGAATGTAATCACAGGTTCCTTTCAACCTCGATTTTATGTCTGCCACAAACTGTTTACCTGTTATGTCTTATCCTCCCACCCAGGAGAAAAATTTAGTTTGGACTAACCAAATACCTGCTTGAAGAAGTGCGATATCTCATAAGCAAACCAATAAAACTATAATGGCTAGAAACCGAAAGGACTTCAACAATTTTCAGTAGGGTAGATTTTAGTGGAACGGTTGGTCTCACCTAATCTAGACTAAATAATCGGACGAAGTTTTTATAACCAAATAATCACAAGATCAACGATTATAACAACCGATGAGAATTAGCGATATACAATAATTCTATCAGTTTTTTTTAAACCAACAACTAGATGAAAGCAAGGTCAGATAAAGTAGATAGAAATAAACACTAACTGAATAGCAACCATCTCCATCAACGACCGTCTAAAACTTTGCCTCAGACCAAACCATTCCAAAGAACACCAATAACTGCATATCGATAAGCAGAGGAAGAATGAGGTCTATTAAACTTTCCTTCTAAAAGCTTAATCACGTTATTCACATTTACTACAGCTATGACCATCGATGGACATTTATACCATTATTTATTGTTTCAAAAGATTTCCTGAGTTCTTCCGAAATTTAAAAAAAAGTTGGTGCTGATCATGTGGTATTGAATGACAATGCAAGAGGTGAATTTGTACAGCTGGTGACGATAACAACTAAAAAGACCTTGACAACTAGTTATTCAGAATATTTGTCTTGTAAACTTACTGAAAAAAAAACTTCACAACAAGAGTAATACACACAAAGATTTTATAGAGCTTCGGAAAAAGTTTATTCATGGTATTTCTTAGATAAGAATTTGATTAAATGGGATTTTAATGTTCTCTAGAAAATTACTCTTTCATATGGAACCCAAGTTCATCTTGTTTAAACCGGCATCGAAACCGTGATAAAAGGCTTTTGTTTTCAATCACCTAATAGTTTAACATGAACTCACCTCACTCATATGAAGTCATTGGTGCAGAGTGTAGAAGGGAATATGAAAGCATTATTCCCTTGAGCTTCCAAGAAGAGAATATAAACTGCCTAACTGTTCAGTACTGAGTCTGTGATCACAAACGATTAAAGGATGCCTAAGTGGCTGAGAAAAAGCGTGATTTCACAGAGTGTATACAGAAGAGGAGATGCTGAGTCATTGTATCTACTGGATATCTGAGTGCAGAATTTAAATAGCTGCTATCTATTATTTTATGTTCTTTCTCTTCTTTTACAATGTTGCAATCATAAATATTTCCTCGTCTTCTGTTCACTTTCGTGTACCCACTAGGAGAACATAGATTCGGTATTTCAAGAAAAGAAGTGTATAGTTGATCGGAAGGTGATCATA